ATGACTCCGGCTCCCTCCAGCCTTACATTGAATACTGCTTTGTAGTCACCTACAGTGGAGCACCCACGGGGACACTACTCGAAGAAGAAAAGGGAGTTACTCACCTCGTGTAGTAACGAGTGATCTTCGAGATGTGTGTCCCCGTGGGTGCTCCACTGTAGGTGAAGGGTTGCCCTGAGCCGCAGATCGGAGCTTTGTATAGCAGTTTCCCCTGTTGAGCCACGCATGCCCAGGAGGCGTCTCGAGCCCTTCCCGCCTCCTGAGGAGCGTGACTCAACCCCCTCCCTTTCAGTTCCTCGTCTCCACCCGAGAATTTTGACTGGGGGAGGGTCATGGAGCCCCCACGGGGACACACATCTCGAAGAACACTCGTTACTGCACAAGGTGAGTCACAACCAGGGCCATCCTTAGGCATAGGCAGAATAGGCAGTTGCTAGGGCACCAGTATTTCTGGGGCACCACTCTGCTGTGACTGATGTAAGCAGTGGAGCATGTGTAAGCATGGGCTAAACTATTGCTTACTCTCAGTCAGCTAAAAGGAGAGCTGCCGTGGGGGGTGCGTATGCTCACTCCAATTGTTTAGCTCTGCAATATAATTAACTGTTAACTATTCATATGTAAATACAGCTCATGCCAGGAGGGGGAAGGAATCCGAGGTGTGGTTATGTAAATCCAATTCAGCCAGGGCTTATGGAGGATCAGTGTTGGAATGGAATGTGGTGTATTGTAACTAATTTGGGGCTGTTGTGGGGGTCACAAATCATGCGACCCCTAAATGTGGGAACTGTAAAATATGATACCAGTGCTTGCAGGAGAGACACCATCATTGTAAGACATCTCAGAGGAACAAGCCTCCCCCTTGCCAGAGTTGAGTGAACTGAGTTGGGGTGGAAAGGGCTTGAGGGCTGAGTCAGCCTGCTTCATGCCTGCCAGGTGGGAGCTGAAAGACTGGCTCAACCTGCCCCTTTCCCTCTGGTTTTAAGGACAGACCTAAAGCAGACTCCATGAGGAGTCTTTTTGCTAGTCCAGTGGAAGCTGGAATCTTTTGCCAGCCTAGGTGATGGTTAAGGAGTTGAAATAACTAAGAGCTGCAAACACTGGTTTGGTCGGGAGCCAGACCCATTGCAGCCAGTGGAGGG